ATAATCCGCATTGTGAAGGAATTGGATTATTGGCTCGAATTACAACAGTTTTATAATCATTAGGATCTTTAAAAAAAATTTTTTTTTAACTATATATCAATATATTTTTGAGAAATTTCTCTTATTAAAATTTATTAAAGATCTTACCCGTATAATTCACTTTAAGCCCACTTGAATCTATGCTAACAAACTGTGATTTATCATCGACATTCCACGCGGTTGGTAAAACAAGACCATTGAATAAAGTAGTCTCTCCCATTACATCAAATTTCTATTCAGATTTTTTTATCTAGTAGACAAACGATTTTATTTTAGGCGAATTATTGTCAGCAAAATGTAAGTTTAATTTATTTAACAGTACGTACCCTCATACATGTTACGCAATATCAGCCCATTTTTATTCGGAATCATGCACATGAATGCGCATTGGCTCATTTCCAAAGTGGTAGATCAAAACTTTTTATCGTGATGTGATCGTTAAAACTTTATTTTATAAAATTATTAAAAGAGCAACATGATATTATACATACCAAATTATTATATTCAATTAATACGTATATCTTCTTTCTTAGCGTTTATTTAACATAACTATGGATGGATACTGTAATCAAAATTACTGCATAAAACCCTTTATTTTCGCATAATGGTCCCATAGGCGATAACTTTATCAGATTTACGAGAATACAAAATATAATAAAGAAATTTGTCGAATTATGACAAATCGAGTTAAAATTGCGAAACATGCCATTGAAGAAATGTAGGAAGTGATAAAGAAAAAGAATATTATGTCGTATGTAAACGTTTTGAAAACGTGTTAACGAATGTCAAAATGTTACTAAGAAAGTATTAAATATCAAAGGTTATAAAAAATATATCAAAAGAAGTTAAAAGTAAATACGTATGCAAAAGAATTTGATGAATGTATGGAAGATCTACATTTCACTATCGGTATTGCATAAAAGCGTAATAGTAAGGTTAATACCCATGAAAGACGTAGCGTAGGCTAAAAAAAAAAGGGAAAAGCGTATAGTAAAAATTGAGTCGGTTACGTTTGTATATTTTATATTTTATATAGGCATATGAATTTTTTATCAATGGCTTTTCACGTGATATGTAATAATTAATTTGATCGGGGTCGGAAGTTAAAATAAATTTGATTTAACAATGGGTAAATGGTAATAACAAAATCAAAGTGAAGACAATCGAAATGCAACATTTATTATATATTAAGTATTCAATCGATTTGTATTTAAACTTTCTATTAGGGCTTGTGTATTCTTTTATACTTGATACAGAATGTCAAGAAGTTATATATTTATTTAGTCTGGAGAAAAAGGAAGCAATTTTAAATATTAATAAAAAATCTTTTTCGACTATACGTGACGATATCAAAAGATAATAAGATATTTGTTTAATCAAGATACATCTATACATAAAACCTAATAAATTTTGTAGAAAAATGTTGTTACTGACTTCAATTGAAAACTACAAGAGTCTATGTACTGTACGTTTGAGATACAGCTTGTCAGTAAGTGATTATCTATATTGTGTACTATATTGATTATCTTTGCACTGATCTATATTATTGCTTAGATGTTATCGCGCGCTTGGCTAAGCAAGTGCAATTAGAAGCTCATATATACATTGAAGACATTGGTGAATTAATTTTGTCAACAATTACTATGTTGGAATTGAAAGTATTATTTTAACATAATAAAACCGTATAATCTTAATAATAAAATTATGCAAATCATAACGAACATATAAAGTCTAGGAGATTTATATCTATATTTTTATTTTATTTTATTTTTTACTTTGCTTTCGCATGTAATTTAATGGCCCCACAATTCAGCAATTACGTTATTTATTTGTTTTATACTACAGTCAAACTCTCTGAATGCAACGCCAAAGGGCCTATATAAAAATGGCCAACTGCTAACGAACTAGCACTTATTCTGAAACAAATATAATAAAATAACTATATGATAATAAATAAACTGGAACAATTGACACATTTACAAAAAACCAATTAACAATTAATTATTCTGAAGCAATATCGAATAGATATAAACAAACTGAAGCAATTAAGAATTTACAAAAAACCAATTAACAACAATTAATCAGCCAGCACGACTCAATTATCAGAAACATCCATAAGCTAATTTTACAAGTCAACAACTCACAAGGGCTGCTAATTGGGAGTTGCAGTTATTGACAAAGATACTGTTATTAAGTAATATTAATTAAAAATTGGCATTAATATGTTTATTAAAATCGACATATTCTATGCAAACTTATAAAGATTATTAAGGTGTCAAGGCCGTTGCTTTAATTTCAATTAATAATTTAGGCTATATATATGAAAAAAATTTAATTTTTATACATGAACCTAGGTCAAATTACATAATTTAACTTACCGAAGGAAGTTGTTTAACAGCCACCGTAGTTCGAGCTGGTCCAGTTTGTGCTTCAAAATAAGTATTGTAAACTTCGTTAAAGCCAGTATAATCATCCATATTCACTAAAAAGACTGTCAAGTCTACAATATTTTTTAATGATGCACCCGCTTCTTTAAGGATTGTTTCCAAGTTTTCAATTACAGCTTTTGTTTGCGCTCGAATATCAAGTTCTAACGTTCCACCAGGAAGCTCCTTTACCTATTGAGAACAACTTTCTACTCATTGAAATTTTCTTGATACCTTTTCACTTTTAGAATCGACCGAACCTGTGCTTTCCAACTTACCCCTTCATATCTAAATAAATACAATTAGAAATTTTTTTAAATTTTAATTAATTGAATAAGTGTTCAAAGTGTTAGATTCTCACGTATTATCAGGCCTTCGTGAAGATATACCAGATACAAAGATTAATCCTCCAGCGACTCGGGCATGAGGATAATTTGCCAAAGGTCTCGCCCTGTCTGAAAGAAAAATCGCTCTACCATTGGAATTTTCTTGTGACATCGCTACAAAAGATAGTTAATGCTGATCCTTATTTCAAATATGTATAAAATCAAATGATAGATAACTGATATTTTAGGGGTTACACTTATATGTTTACACAAGTTAGTCTAAACAATTACGTATCATCGTAGTTCACACAAATAGGAATCCAAATACATGATAACATTACGACTATTACCAAGATACTCTTATGATAATTCTTTAATCGAATTTAGAACAAGAATTCTTTTTCATTAAAGTAAGTAAGAACTTTTGACAGTATAGATTATCCAACAATCCTCTCCAATTTTCACATTAATTGTTTAATTATTAATGTTAACGTTAATGTTAATGAGACAAGATTGGAGAATATCATCAGTTATAAAAATTATGGGAAATTAGATAAGCTTTAATGGCTCATTATTGTATGTTGTTCTTCGTTGTTCTTAATTGCACAGTTCTTAAAAACCTCTAATCATAATTATACAACAAGGCGCACTATGCTTAATGATTGATGTTTATGGATGTTAAATGCTTATAACTTGTATATAGTAAAGTTAGTACAGACGTGTAGAAATCATGATAGTATGTGCGGTTTGCAAAAGAAAAATTCGTCAAACCAAAGTTACTTTTCCTACTACTTGTCCTTACCCTAACACGAAAAAAGAATAATATTAGCGCTTGCTCTATCCCTAAACATTAAAAAGGGTTCTAAAATTGAATTTTACAAATCTGTTAATCATACGTGCGATCAAAATCTAGTATAATTTTTGTATGTCCGTTCGAATCTGTACTTCTTACTTGACCGAATACCTCTAACACAAGGCGTGACAAGGATCACGTAAAACTATAAATACCACGAAATGTACGTACGAACATATTTTTGGCATGTAAAAAGTCATGGCACACATAACAGATGAATGGCTTGAAAAAGCTATTACCGAAAGATATATCAATAATTTTGAATATAATAAATTTACGGACCCTACAATAATTGGTACCGGAGGTTTTGGAAATGTTTTTTAAATACGAATGGAAAGATTGTGATTTAACGGTAAGAAATTATTAAAGATTAAAGAGGTATTTATTATATTAGTACTTGCGTTATTTCCTGGTTTAATACTAAATTCTACAACTATGGTATAAAAGCTTAAGCTATTACTAAGAGTTAGTAATCGTCCTAATATTATGGTGTCACGAAAGGTGTATATATGCAATGTTTAAGTTCAGAATTTATATAAAACAATAATTGTATTAAAATATTTATTACAATTAAATAGATAGCAATGGATATTATAATATGGTTTTACAATATGCTAATGATGGAAATTTACGAGAATACTTAAAAGAAAATTTTGCAAGATTGCAATGGACAGATAAACTATATATTGCCAAGGAAATAGCACTCGGAATTTTATTTTTGCACGATAATAATATCATTCATAGAGACCTTGTAAGTACTATAGACTTTACTAGATTTTTATACAGTATTTATTAACTTAATAATATATTTCATAATTTAGCATTCGAAGAATATTTTAGTTCATCAAAAATCGCTGATTTTGGACTGTCAAAGCAGATAAATGAAATGTCTATGACGTCAAACTCATTCGTTCACGGAATGCCAGACCTAAATGTTTTATCAATCATAAATATATCCGTGATAAGAAATCTGATTTTATAGCTTTGGTGTAATCCTCTGGGAAATTTCAACCATTTCAACCTTTGAATCCAGAGATTCGCTTGTTATCCACATATTCCTAGGAAATAGAGAAGAACCTATAAAAGATACTCCATCTCAATATATTGAACTTTATAATGTTGGGACAATGATCCAGCTAATCGTCCTGAAACAAAAAAATAATACTCAATACTTTAAAGCAACTTATTCCTAATGAAGCTTTGAGTCGATATCATTCTATTGAAACGTCTTCTCAAATGGCGAAACCTCTCTAGGCCGTAAAAACAGTACAAACTCGACATCATCATCGTTTTATTTACCTGATACAATAATCATTTCAACGCAAGACAGTAATATTCTTGTGAATATGAGAAATGAATGTTTTAATCAAGGCAAATTTTTCAAAGCATTAGAACTTTATGAAGAAATACTCAAGAATAGTCACCACAACCCTAAAGATCAAGAAAGTGCTTCAACTTGGGATCTTTATAATAAATGTTGTGAATCAGAAAAAATAACCAAATTAATAAAGCGCTTTGCAAGAACACTATACTGACTTATTTGGATATTGAAGGGAATAATCTTGGATCAGAAGAAGGAAAAGCATTGGCTGATGTACTTTGCAAGAATACCACGTTGAAAGATTTAAATCTTAGAGAAAATAATCTTGGATCAGATGGAGGAAAAGCTTAGCTGATGCACTTTGTAAGAACACCTCTCTAACTTCTTTAGATTTTAGTTCAAATAAACTTGGACCAGAAGGAGGAAAAGCATTATCTAATATGCTTTACAGAAATAACACCCTGAAAGAAATATATATTTACAATAGTTACGTTCCATATCCCCGAAAATTATCTTCCCGACATGTCATTTACTCAACATAGCATAGGGTGACAATTTACTAACAATATAATCTACAGCTAATAAAATGTTAAATTGTCACCTATGCGATGGCGAGTAAATAATATAGATAAATGTCTAAAGCAAATATGTTGGTATGTTATTTGGTTTGGACTTTGATTAGATAACTATAGATAGGCAAGGTAATTGTGTTACGTATTTATTACTTGATTTTGTAAAAATAGAGTCAAAAATAACTAAATTATATATTAAAATATATCTTTTATAAGTATACATTGAAACTGGCCTAAATAAATCAAAGAAAAGTAAATTTTCTGGTTTTCATATTCCTATTGCGTTAATTTTTTTATTTTAAAATTTTCAATATATTATACAGTTTATTTAAGAGAATTATAATACACCAGTGTGATATATCACCAGGTCACAGCCCTTCCGGGCCATCTGGATTGGAAGTTTGGAGTGACAGGTATATGGCAAATAGTCTGTATAGTGGGTGCTGGGGTTTGGGTGAACTTTATAAGAGCAGTAGTAAATAATGTAAGTAACTGTAGCAGCTTCGGCTTACAAGTACTAGTTCTTAGACTTGGTGTAAGTTACCAACGAAAACTAGATAATATAGTAATAGTGGATACCAGACTGCTCTAGCAGGTGATATACTTGAGAATGAATCGGTTAACCATGCTGGTAGTCTTATAGGTGACATGTGATGATTCTAGAACTTGGACTGACTAATGTATCACATGTTCTGGGTGAAGTAGATGGATTGGTATAGGAAACTCAAATTAGACATCAACAAAATTTATATATAGATATATATCAATTATTAGCTCCAAGAATATATATCAGATGGTTAATAATTGATATATAATCAATATGAATTAATCAATATGAAAGTAATTAATATTTTTATTCTATAATATATAATACTTATAATATAATAAAAATAATTTATTAAAAAATTTTTTATTACATTTTTTATGTGTATTATACAATTATTACATAATTATTACATAATTCTATAATTACTACATGCAACTCTAACTAAAACTAACTTTTTTCATTGATTTTGTAATAGTTTTAATTTTTTTTTAGATTATAAACTTTATTTCTAGCTTCAAAATCTTAATACCGCGTCGAAGTCACATTCCTGATCTTAAATCAACAGCAGAAAGACTAATGATACACCTTGACCTGAATCTATTACACCTTTTTGTCAAAGCAAAAACCTAGAAAAGAAGAAAAATATTAGTAAATAACAAAAAAAAAACAAGAACACAAAATAAGAGACTGATACTTATCTTTTATATTAGTCTCGGCTTCAAGATCTTAATCCTGAATCTATTACACCTTTTCTGGTAAAGCAAAAAACCTGAAAAAGAAAAAAATTAGTAAATAATAAAAGAAAAAACAACAAGAATATAAAAAAAAAGACTGGTACTTATCTTTTATATCAGTCTTGGCTTTAAGATCTCAACTTCAAACCCATTACACCTTTTCTGATGAAGCAAAAAACTTGCAAAATAAAAGAATTAGTAGAAAACAACAAGAATGCAAAATAAGAGACTGGTACTTATCTTTTATATCAGTTTCGGCTTCAAGAATTCAATCCTGAATTCATTACACCTTTTCCGGAGGAAGCAAAAAAACTGCAAAAGAAAGAAATTAGTAAATAATGAAAGAAAAAATAACAAGAACACAAAATAAGAGATTGGTACTTATCTTTTTATCAGTCCTGGCTTCAAGATCTTAATCCCAGTTCTATTACATGACAGAGCAAACCTGCAAGAGAAAAAATTAGTAAAGAATAAAGAAAAGTAACAAGATAATACAATAAATAACTAGTACTTATTTTCATACCTATTTCTGAATTCCAAATCTTATTTTGTTTTCTCCAACAATAAACAAACTTGTGAAAGAAAGAAAGCATTAGTAAAGAAAACTAAAAAAGAAAAAAAAAGACTGATACTTATCTTTGTACCAGTTTCCAAATCTGATTTTCTAGCAAAGAACTTATGAGAGAAGAAAGGCGTTAAAAAAAAAATTGCTCATACTTATCTTTGTACCAGTTCCCAAATTCAGATTTTAGTCTCATTTTACCTTTTTTGGCAAAGGATAACCAGTGAAAAAAAAGAATGTTAGTAAAGAATAAAGAAAACCAACAAGAAAAAAAAGTTTAGTACTTATCTTTGTATCAGTTTCTGAATCCAGATTTTAATTTTATTTCACTTTTCTCGGTGAAGAACAATCTGTAAAAAAAGAAGAGCATTAGGAAAACCAACAAAAAAAATGTCTGGTACTTATCTTTGTACCAGTTCCCAAATCTCAGATCTTAATTCCATTTCACCTTTCTCAATGAAGAACAACATATAAAAAAAGAAGAGTGTTAGTAAAGAATAAAGAAAACTAATAAGAAAATAGTCTGGTACTTATCTTTGTACCAGTTTCCAAATCACAAATCTTAATTCTGTTTCACCTTTCTCAGCGAAGAACAACCTGTGAAAAAAGAAGAGTATTAGTAAAGAATAAAGAAAATCAACAAGAAAAAAAAAGTCTGGTACTTATCTTTATATCAGTTTCTGAATCCAAATCCCAGACAAAGAACAACCTATGAAAAAAGAATAAAGTTAGTAAAGAATAAAGAAAAACCAAAAGAAAAACCAAAAAGAAAAAGAAAAAAAGATCTGATAAAACAAAAAAAAATATTAAAAAAAATTTAACAAAAAAAAAATTTAGCAAAGTATTTTGTAATGTAAATCATAAATCTTGATATAGTTTTAATGCATTGTAAAATTATCATTATGTATATACGTATATATGAATTGTGTAAATTTATGTACTAAAAAAAGTTAAAATTCATTGTTATCATTGTTACTATTGTATAAATTGCTATATAGCAATTAATAACTATTAATCATTATATATTGGTTTAAAAAACACATTAATAATTGATTAATAGACATACAACGAATTATATACTTTAATTAATATTTATTGATTATTGATATATATCATTTTACAACAGGTTTATCAATTTATATCGTTGATTTTTAATCGATATATATTGATAAATACAGTAGTTATATATCGATAATTATCTATTTATAAATTTTGCAGATGGAGGGTTTAATTGGATAGCTCAAGTAATAGTAGGTTATAGATATGGCATTTAGTAATAGGTAGATACTTAATTAGGCATACAAAAGGTGCAGATATGGCTAAAATATATCCTCATTGGAATGTACTTGTTTGGGCCCCCTTGATAAAGATATCATATAATACTATAATCTAATAAAGCAAAAACCCAAAAAGGCTAATATTGACTATAAAAAAAAATAAAAAAATAAAAAATAAAACTTATTGTTTCATCATATTGCAATCACAACTACAAATTCTGAAAGTTGGTGATGAATTTCCAACAGCAGAAAGCTTTAAGAAAGTAGCACAACAAAATGCTAAGGCAGTGGGTTTTGCCTTTAGCATTTCATTATCAAAAATATCAGGCAGTGGAAAAAGTGACCACACCTCTTTCATAACTTTGCAATGCACAATAAGAGGTACTTACAGAAATAATCATAAAATTACTGAAGAAACCCAAAAAAAAAAATTCTCAAAGTGCCAAAGTTGTTCTGTTGTTTTACAAGATGCTTTAAATGAGAAAACCAAAACTTGGGTAGTAATATCTTTTAAAGTGAGCATAATTATGAACCACTTATTTTATCTTAAATTCATTGTTTTCTTTAATTTCAGCACCTCAATATAAAGCAAAGAGAGTTGAATTATATAATACTTAAAAGTGGTGTATCAACTTGATCAATTGCTGATGTAATATCCCTTAGATTGTAGGCCAACGCAGGCAAATTTGTCTGTGTTGGTACTATAAATATGCTACTGATCTATTTTTTTAACAATTTAAAATATTCAAATAAAATTTGGTATAATAATATTTGAAAATATAGATTATTTTTTTATAGTATTTATTTTTAGATTATAAGAAAAAAATTTTAGGTTACTTATGAACCAAAAATATGCAATTTTAAAAATAATTTTTTAAAAAAAAATATTTTAGTTTATCTATGACAAACTTTTTAAATA